TTGACATGTCCGGGTTCTGGACTTTAAAATCCGGGGTTTTCCCGCATCTTGTCCTGGTTTCTAAATTTTAGAGGTGGCAACCCTATATATATATTGATATTACAATTCACAGTTATTTTTCTTTTTCTGTTAATAAATATGTACAATTTGTAGTTTTTCTCTCTATTAAACTAAATAACTAACCAAAATAGAAAGTTGTTTAATTTCTAAGACTATGCTTTATATGACGCCCGCTTAGTATGACGTGTTTGTCATTTCCCTTTGATGTCATTATAAGCGGATTTTACTGTATAACCATTCTCACAGATAATTTATTGAGGACTTTGTCAACTTTGATTGTTCCAACTATAGTTGCATATACATCTTAAGTTTTTGGAGGGGACAGTAGACGTACAATAGAAGAAAAAGTATTAAGCAAAAGTATTACTTAAAAAGCTGTTGTTCATTGTGTTTATTTTATTGATTAATAAATTTTTGATTTCGGCATCTACTATGAAATTACCCGCACGTTTTCTCAGATGAGTTTGGCTTACCTCATTTCCAGTTGTAAATGTGATCCTTTTTTATAGGAGTGTAATTTACTGAGTATGTTTTTACTTCCTTCTTTTCCCTGAATCATAAATTTTTTAGCTTCTGTTTGTAAAAAATATTGGTTTAGAATTATGTGTTATACGTATTATTAACCAAAGTTTCAATGTAAATGAAGTTTCTATTTAAAGTTTTTGTAGAGGTTAGAGATTCATTAGATTCAATAATAAAGGGTAACTTCAACAATAGTTTCATTAAAGAAATAGGTACTAATTGAAACATTTCTTCTTTTGCTTCTTCTAAAATGTAACAAATTTTTAGTGGGTGTCTATGCAAAATGTCAAATATAAATCAAAGACAGTCATAGCCTATGAAGAGCTAAGAACTAATATCTTTAATTTATCGTTCTATTTATTTCGGCAGTATGGGAGTTTTTTTACGTAAGCTAGAGGAATGCAAAAACAGTTCCTAGCATTTGAAATTGAGAAATTGTGCGTTTATGATTATGAAACTAAACCATAATATTTCGACCTTGCTACTGCACTTAGTTTCGATTACACAAAGTTTCGGGGTAAAGTCGTGATACGATGAAGTCACTACGACAATGCCGCGCGGAGAAATCGCAAGTATGTCGCCGGCCTTACAATTGATGAAAAATAAGCATTTATTTTAGAAATATAAAAATAAAATTAATTGCTACTACATGGCAAGAAAGTGATTATCATGAGATTAAAATTTTATTCAAATGATTTTGTAACTGAAAATTTATTAATCTGACTTCAGACTATCTAAATTTTCATATTCTAAAAATTTTGTAGTAATTAATCGTAGATATTGAAACTCCATATACAGTTTACTAAAACGTACAATATTTGAAAACAAATGTTTATTGTCCACAATAAGTGTTTTGTAGCACAATAGCTTCTCCATTCGAAAAATGAAAAGTGAGAGTAGGTGCAGTACCTATTCATTTACGTGTGTGGATCAAATATTAAGTAGAATTTGTTTTTTTTTTAAATTGACACACAAATTTTTTAAATTGACCTGGTCGTTACTTCTACGAGTAATTAAATAAACAATTAGATACTGTCCCTACCATTATTAAAACATACAATATTCGTCATAACAATATTGTTTTAAAGTCAAAGAAATATCTTTTCTCATAATTTCAACAGTTAATTTTTGAATATATCATGCCACAAATAATGTATTTTTGGATGAAGCTATGTACCGGTACTGTACCAGTGACTAAGAAGCGATTCACCGGTACCGTACCGAAGTCTAAAAAGCTAATCACCGGTATTGTATCGGTAGCTAAGAAGATATTCCCCGGCACCCAAATATTGTATAGAATATTGCTGATTGGTACTTTAAGTTAACAAAGTCAACAATAGAAAGTCTTCTTATGAGACCACCAATAAAGCATTCTCTATATTTTATTTTAAGTAAGGTACCATTGAATAAAGGCACATCGGTTTCTTTTTAGTGCATTGATTTTCACTACTTTGGCAGCATATATTTTGAAAAGTTATGTTGAATTTCGTGGTTAGGAAAAATGTCCAAAACGGCTCGGGGATTGGCTACCTCTGTTCTAAACAGTTGTATGACGAAACAATTGTTGTGGTAAATGAACCAAGTTTTGAAACTTTAAACGATTTATTAATTTAATTGCATTTCCAGATTTTATCATAATATTTAATGTAATTATTCATATCTTCGAACGGAGGGAGGGCCATTTACCTTAAGATGTCCCCTTGAATATGTGCATATGTATTTTGAATGAATAGGTATAATGGAATCGAATACTGTTAAAAGAGCATGAAATTGAAATAAAAAGAATCAAAGGTCATCAAAAAGTATTTTAAACAGCTTGATAAACCAATAAAAACTTATTCATTACATTAATATAATTAACAAATTTACTATTTCCAATTAATATCATTTTATTACAACTCTATTAGAAGAATGTATTTGAATTTCAAGTTGGTGTAATGATGTTATAGGGAG